TTCCGAGGGCTCAGTTGGTGCAAGAATAGAAGGAATTTGGGAAATTCCCATCTAGGTAGTCCCCGGCATGGGCATTGGTATGTGGGATTTTATTGGCGAGATTAGATCCTATGGTTGAGAAGAAGTCGTTTATCTTGTTAGCTGTGTCAGTGGGATGTAGTGGTGTTTCATTAGGTTTAGTTAGGACAATATTCTTGGTTTTTTTTCAGTTTGTGGGTCCCTAGAATCTGAGAGAGTGTTTTCCAGGTCTTTTTTATATCTCCTCTAGTGTCTGTGAATCTACTGGAGTAGTATAGTTGTTTGGCTTTCTTTATTACTTTGGTGAGAACTGATGAACAGTGTTTAAAAATATCTTTGTGTATTAAGCCCTGTCTATATTGCTTTTCATATTGGTGTTTCTTGTCAATGGATTTCAGAATGGTACTGGTTAGCCATGGGCAACCAAGCCGTTTGTTTGTGATCTGTTTCGATTTATAGGACAATGTTTGTTGTATAGTCAAGTAATTTGTTAAGAAAAATATCTGTCCAGTCATCAATACCATTGGCCTTGGAGAATTCTGTAGGCCAGTCAACAATCTCTAGGTCAGCTGTGAACTTCCTTATTGAGGCCTCGTCATGGAGTCTAAATGAGACTTTGTTGAATTCAAGTGGTGGTTTACTAATGTTTGTCAGGAGGAAGGTAGGATAGTGGTCTGTAGTGCTATCTGTGATTATCCCTGATTTAAGGGGGGCTAGTATATTGGTCCATATGTGGTCTATTATGGTTACACTTGTCTCAGTGAGCCTGGTTGGTTTAGTTATTGTTGGTATGAGAAGTGTGTTGTTCATATTGTTGATGAAATCAGTTACAGGCTGATCATCTAGTAAGCCAAGGTTGATGTTGAAGTCTCCAGCTAAGAGAAGGTGGTGCTTATTCATTTGTCTGTTTGTTATTAGTGACTTTAATTTCTCACTGAAATTTGGGATGTTTGTGTGAGGTATCCGGTAAATGTCACCGATTGTTATAGGTGTCTTAAGGTTTTTTACAGTAAAATTAGCAAAAATGTATTCCCCATGTTCATCCCTAAAGCAAGTGGTGCTAATACAAGATAACTGGTTAGAGTAATAGATTGCAATACCACCCCCAACTTGGTTTGGTCTGCAGTTGTGAATTACTGTGTATCCTGGTAGAGGGTAGATATCTATTGTGTCCTGCTTAAGCCAGGTCTCAGTAAGAATAATGCAGGAGAAGGGTGTCATTAGTGATTCAAGGAATGCCAGGAGGTCATCATAGAGTTTGCTTAAGGACCTGATGTTGTAGTTAAGTACTGATAGACTTTTAGCATTGTTTAGGATAGTGCTGGCTTGTGTTGCTGTGTAATAAAGGCAGTTACTTTCCAATAGGTTTTGATTGGGTGTCAGATTATGGAGGTTTAGATCAGGGTCAACGTGATCAATCATCTTCTAGGTTTAAATTATGGTTATTTATATCCTGAGTTGTGTGTTGAGTTCTAGTACTGATATCTGTAGTGGTGGGAAGTTTGGATAAGTATATAGCTAGAGTATTTTGGTCATATGGAGTATAGTCACTGCTACACATAATGAAGTTGATGTTGTCTATGTGTTGTGCTGGAATGAACTAAAGTACAACTAGGTATAAACTAGTAATATAAAAATACAAATTTAAAATAGAACAAGACTCTCACTTGTAATTGCACTAAGGTCTAATATAATGACTTTTGTGGAGTCTATGTTTTGAGCTAGAATGAGCTATAGTACAACTAGATTTAATCTAATAATATAAAAATACAAATTAAAATAGCACCAGTCTCTCACTAGTAATTGCACTATGGTCTAATATAATGAATTTGGTATTGACTATAGTACAAACTGAGTTTAATCTAATAATATAAAAAGCACACAGCTCTCAAATTGTAATATGCACTAAGGTCATTATATAAGTTGTTTTACAAGAATTAGAGTATAACTAGATTTAAATTGACAGGATAAAATACACAAGTTAAGGTAGCAAAAGAATAATAATAAAAAAAATGATAAAAATAAAAAAGGCAATGACTTGGTTATAATATGCTAGTAAGATGGTAGACAGGATAGTATAAAAGTTGTAGTTGAAAATACTAGTTTAAAAAAGTATAGAATAAAATGGTCAATAAAAGAAGTTTACAATAAGTTTGATCAATATAGTTTAAAGCAAAATTGGGCAATAATAGGGATTTTAGAATAAAATTGGGCAATTGAGTATTTCTTAAAGTGAGGTAGAATTATTGAGGACAAGTTATGGCTAGTTTATAATAAAATAAGATGGAACAGTGATGTGGTAAGTTGTAAAAAAAGGAGATAGATTCTGTAGATATTAAACACAATTAAGACTATGAGGTAGAATGGTCGTTGAATACAACAATGACAATCAAAAGTAGTTGGGGTATTAGAATTTTAGGGGGGCACAAATTTATGACAATATAACACTAACTGTGGACTGTGGGTATTATCTGCACTTTACTCTGATTCTGTTAGTCCAGCCTCACTTAGGAATGTTTTAAGGTCATGTTCTGTAGAGATGAAGTATCTCTTCCCAGTGGGCTGTTTCCTAACTGCGATTTTTCCATCCCTCACAAAGCACTGGTGGATTTTTTGGGCATAGCGTAATTTTCTTAGCCGATAAAGAAGGTTTTGTCTTGTTTTGGTAAGGCACTCATTGACGTAAACATCAGCTTTCATAGAAATAGATGTTTTTAGTAGGTTGTTTCTTTGTAGGCTAGTTTGGAATTTTAATAGCACTGTTTTTTTACCTGCTTGGTAGCCCATCAGTTTGCAATCCTTTAGGTCATCACTACGTATGTTAAGGCGAAGGTGGTCCTTGATAAGCTGTAGGGTGGTCTCCATGCAGGTCTCTTGGGTGACTTGGGTGACTTTGTATATAATACAAGCGAAGTACATCTTTGCTCGCCCTTGCACGGTGCCTCGTCATGGGTCTCATGGCGTTGAGTCTGAGTAGAGCACGTGGCCTGACATACTCGGTCTGTTTCTGAAAGGTCAGCTTTTTATCAACGAAGATTCCCAAGTATAGGTAGGAGCCTGTCCACTCAAGTTCTATATCCTGAATACGTAATCTATTCACAGGATCTGGTCCCTGGAACATCATTGCAAGAGATTTCTCGGCCGAGATCTTGAGGCCTAGTTCCTTGCAAGACTGCATAATTAGGTAAAAAGCTTTCTGGGCCTGTCGCTCCAAATTGCCTTTCCCATTCACTACGAGTGTAAGATCATCAGCATAGCTGAGGAGCTGCGTACCACTATGAGAGGGAAGGTTCACAAGTTCCTGCATAAGGACGTTAAACAGGGTAGGACTGAGAACAACTCCTTGTGGCGTGCCGTTTTCCAGGGTTTTAAAGGAAGAGTAGCGTCCCTGAAAGCTGGCACAGGCCTGCCTGTCCCTTAGGTACGACTCTATCCAGGCCAGTATCCGAGCTAGTATTGCTAGAATTGCTGTGCGGCTGGCTAGCTCAAATGCCTTCTCGAGGTCGAGGTAGATGATACTAGGTTTCTTGTTACTATCAGCAATCTGGCTTAGTAGGGTGGTTATGCACTCTGCTGACCCACTCCTTTGGTAAAGCCAAATATGTGATGATGATGGGGTTCAAGTTTACATAGGAGGTGGTTTAACACCATCCTCTCAGCAGTCTTGGCTAAACAGCTGGTCAGCAGTAGCAGTGGTTTATATACTGTAGTCAGGTGAAGCGAAGCAGGAGGAGGCGGGGTCATAGTGGAACCATCCACTAGTGTGGCGAAACGTTTCTTCAGTAAAGATTCCCATATGTTGCATAAGTGTCTCAGTTCTTCAACTTGTCGGTTTTCAAAACCATTCATCACATCTGTCAGACACTGCATCATCATGGAATTTTTATACAAAGAATTCTTCAAAATTTGTCCAATCTTAGGACGAAGACCTGGTTAGACTAGTGGATGGTTCCACTATGACCCCGTCTGCTCCTGCTTCGCCCCACCTAACTACAGAGTCAGGTGAGGCGCCAAGCTCTTCAGCGATTTCCAGATTATTTACGAGTGTTTCCTTATTTGACAAGACTAGGTCGAGCAAATTATTACCCCTGGCAAGCTCTGTTACACACTGCTTCAGAAAACAGTCCTGAACCACTTCCATAAAGTCACTGGACTCCAGCTTACCGGTCAAAGAAGTCCAGTCAATTTGACTAAAGTTAAAATCCACTTGTATCAGTACGTTATTGTGTCTAGAAGCCCTAACAATTTCTTCCCAAAGAAGTCTCCTTCTATCGTGATCCAAGCCTGGAGGTCGGTATATTACAACTAGGATTAGTTTTTTCTTGACCTTCTACAAACTCTACCCGGATTCTGTTACTTGTCCATCTATTTTTATACCTGCTTTTATGCAACAATTTATATTTTCTCGTACATATAATGCAATTCCTCCCCTCTTCCCAGTACATCTATCCACATGGAACAACTTAAACCCTTGAATGTTACACTCGGCAATCATCCCGACTCTTTAAATCATACCATGTTTCAGTTATCGCATCCGTATCGGAGATCGAGCCACGGACTTCAGTGTGTGAGCTGAGTGCCCTAGCACTCTTTGTTTTGTTCATTATCGTTTTATTAATTTATATTAATGATAACAATACCAACAACTTGATGAATAAGACACGTGTGTCGTATTCATTAGTCAACGCCGGATTCTCTTCACAGTTATGTTTCTCTTTTCGTTTGTTTGTCTCTTCATACAGGCTTCCATGATATGTCTATTGTTTATGACTAAATATGTTGACTATATATATTCTGCCTCTGAACATATTCTGTCTTTATACCTATAATTCTCCTGGTCTTTATGGGTGTTTCGTATTCTTTTCTCTGCCTTTATGCTCGTTTGTCAATATTTTTTCTTTGTCTTTAGGTCTACACTGGTGTCGCCAAAATTACCTCAGTTTCTCTGGCACTATGTACAAGTCTGACTTTCTTTCTGCTAGACATGGCGCTTGAGTGGATGGGAAAGATGCCAGGATGGGAGAGCATTGTTCTCCTGGGCCTTCTCCTCTTCCTCCTCCTAATCTTCGTCGCTCCAGGAAGACGACCTCCAAATTTTCCTCCCGGTAAGGATGACTGGAACAAGGTGCCGTGTAGCGTCATTCAACCTTACGTAACTTTGAAACGATAATAAATTAAACGAGAGTAGAGAGGTCCCGTCTAACATGGTGACGTTAACCTGCTCTAATGTTTTTATATTTTTATCTTCTTATTTTCTAAAGAAACAAAAAGGTGGATAAATAATAATAGATGTCAAAAATGAACAGAAAAAAAAATGAACGGGAGGCTTAAACCGTAGTTCATGAATTGATAGGCCCAACACTCCGCCGCCTCGGCTACTGGACTTCTAATAGGTAAGGATATGAAGCAGTGCTTCTGTACATGATTCCGGCAGTCATGTTGGTGGCTCTGACTAAAACAAGTACAAAACTTCTGCTTCCAATTCTCTCCTATTAGAAGTCCCGAGGCCGAAGACCCTTGAACGAATCTACCTGGATATCTTACTCATTTCTGCAACATTGAAAGCTCCTGAAGATGTGTTCATTGCAACACGAAAGGCCTAGAGCTATCATTCAACTCCCCCATGGCTCTTTTCACACACACACACACATACAAATATCCTACTAGTGGGATGGATTGTGAAGGACTTGCCTAGAATGGGCCAACAGACCTGCTGCAGTGTTCCCCCTTTCTTATGTTTTTATGTTCTTGTATATGTAGTGCCGAATAGGTAAAACTGTTCAATTAGTAAGAACTCATTTAAAATTAAGTCCTCTCTAAATTTTTTTTTATACTTTGAAAGATATATTTTTTTTTCATTTCTGTTAATGTAAAACTTAATAGGTTTATATCAAAAGAACCTTAGAAAACTTACCTAACTTTATTAAAACAAGCGCATTTTAATTTTGCCTTATCCAACTAAATATATATTAGATAAGTTTATAATAATTTACTAGTAAACAGAACAATGAAATCAGTGTGTGTGTGTATTATATATTATATATAATATATATATATATATATATATATATATATATATATATATATATATATATATATGCAATAAAATCACAGTAAACAGGTGATTTCAGAATATGCAAACCAACCACTGTGAAAGAATAGAGAAGTTCCAAGCGCTTTCGTAAATATTCACATTATCAAGGAACAATGAAAGTAAAGCATCAAAGGAAGGTATATAAAGGGGTAGCCCACACCTCACTATCAGATCCCACAACAACGAAACACCTGACGCGAGACAGCAGGCCCGCCGACCGAACTAGACAGGTCCTTCATACAACCCACCACCAAACTATTCTACCCAAGAAATAAGAAATTTAAAAAATTATTATTTGTCCAATGTATTATTAAATTCTTCCCAAATTCTATTAATTATAAATGGATCTAATTTATATAAACCAAAGGAAATATTCATATTATTGTCAAAACTGCTTTTTATGAAACAAGATTCAATTATATTTCTGTCGACCATGGACTTGCTTGATACTACTTTCTCAACTTTTTGAAAATCAATTGGATGGTTAAAATCTCTTACATGAATAAATAGAGCATTGGAATCTTGT